GGCACACATTTGCTGCCAAGTAAGATTGCTTCTCAGACAAACAATAAATATTTGTAGCAGAATCTAGAGTCAGGCACTCGGGGTTTGAATCTCAAATAATTTAATTCTTTGATCTTTTGTTCAGGAGTTGCTGTGAAGAGTAACGTGCTCAATACCTATTAATTATTGTCAATATATTGTCATAGATGATTTAATATTATTGATAACTTAATATCATGGATAAAGATAATTTAGTATTACCATTCCCACTACATCTCTTCACTCTTAGTCTACTTCACCCACACACACACAGTTTCCTGTTAACTATTAAGAAAAGTGATTAATTCATACCCACTTAACAAATTAAATATTAATGGCACTTACTTAAGGTTAACATTTATAGATCATGGTTCAGAGACATTATCTCACTTTGAACTTTCCCACAGCTCCAGAAGAAAAATGGGGTTATTATTATTCTTGTTTGAGAAAAAAAAGAAAATTAAGGTTCATGGACGTTTAGTGACATGATCAGACTCTCACAGCTAATAATTAAGAGCAGAGATTAGCACTCGGAACTTTGCAAGGATGATATTAAACCATGATGCATTCCTTGCTGCTATGTATAGAAACTCAAGTAGTAAAGAAACTAAGGCCCGAAAAATGTTTTTCTCATAAGTTTCCATAATAGTCTCAAAACTTAGTCATATGCTAACATTGTAAAACACCAAATGGGTTGTCAAACACGTGCCGTATTCAGATACTGAATCCTGAAGGTCATCTATTGAATCCTGAAGGTCATCTTCATTGTTTACTCTGTTGTGATTGTTGTGATTATGTTATTTCATCACTGATGTCACAGTTTTTGCTTTAATAAAACCCTACGACGCCACACCAGAAGCAAAAACTTTTTCAGTATGTAAACAGCAGAGGTGGGAAGAGGGTGATGAAAAGATGCTGTTTTCTTTAATAGAAGAGCTGCAGGGCCTTCCATACCTTGTTCATTACGTGGGGAGACAGGAACGCCATCCCTCAAACATTTGTGCTTGCCTCTGAGTGAAATGTTTTCCATTTTTACATATGGCCTTAGTATAAACGAGCAAATATTAGAACTCTAAGAATTTAGAGGAGATTGATAGCAACGAAGTATATTATTATATAAATTTGCTATGTTCTACCTGGGTAAGAACTCCAGGTCCCCGAGATAGAATGTAGCTTAGCTAGCAACCTTTGGGTATAGTTCACCATTATACAAATGCTTAACAGTTTCACATGGATAAAGTATAATTCTCAAGTGGAGACGGGAAACAGAGAAAGAGTATCCAACTCAAAGGTAGAGTTTAAAATGAACATTTTAATGTTCATTTTAGTGGCAGACTTTTCGCTCAGTAGCCTTGAAACGGAGAGTGATCACTTCAGCCTCTTTTGTGGCTTCAGCTTCTGTCTTCAGATCAAGGCGGTGATAGGATGTGTTTACATTTTAGAATTGTTAATATAAGATGAGATAACAAAAGTTTGAGTGTCCAAAGACTGGATTTTCTTTTAGCTTTTTGGATTCTTTGTTTTGGGGTTTTTTGTTTGTTTGTTTTTTAGCTGAAATGTAATGCATGTTCATTGTAAACAAGAAGAGGGGAAAAGGAGGAAGGAGGAAAACAAACTAGCAAATAAATAGAATCATACATCACTATATTAGTGTGATGTTTTAGAATAATAATAGGTATTATTCTTAGCACAAGCAATGGCAAAGGCCAGACGACTATGGACAAATCACTTACTCTTACCCTTTCATAATCCACAAAACAAGAGATCAAACTAGTTTATTTTTTGACAAAATGTCATATTCATACATTATTCTCCAGAGGAAGTCACCAGAAGGCTTTTAAAATGAAAATAAATATAGTCCTACATTTTATTAAAATGAATGTGAAGAATGAAGTGTCAAACCAGACATTCAGAAAGTAAATGTTTGGTGTTTTTCAATCAAAATTTATTAAAATGAACAATTTGTGAAACATAAATATAACTCAATTAAAAAACTGTCAGTGAATTTAACGAATTGTAAGCTTGCTTACAAAAGCAAGCTTATAAGCAAGTCAGGATTCTGTCTTACAGTTACCTTAGCTAATAAGGAATCATTGGAATCAATGATTGGATTAGTGAAATTGCTTTGTTCAAATAAATTTCATGAATAAACAGCTGTGTGAATCATGACCCCAAAAAAAGTGCTGTTAAAGAAAAACATTATTGGAAAAATTCCCCTGGGTAAGTAGAGATTGAATTAATAATACTAATTGTTAATCTTGTTTTGATTCGATAAACATTTTTGAGCACCAGTTACATTTGAGGCAGGAAGCTGGATGGTAGAGCTAGGAAGACTCAGAAGCCAAAATTCACTGCTTTTCCAGTGGAAGAGGAAAAAAATCCTAGATAGGTGTATCAATCAGTGTCCCAGGGGTCAAGGTATGAACAGAGGATCTATAGACGTGGAAACCTAAGGCCTACTAACTACAGTAGTCCTCCCTTATCTGCTGGGGGATACGTTTCTTTTTTTTTTGTAAAGATCTGATTTATTTATTTGTTAGAGAGAGAGAGCATGGGCAAGAGAGAGTGAGCGAGAGAGAGTGAGCAAGGGTACAAGCAGGGGGAGCTGCAGGCAGAGGGAGAAGCAGGCTCCCTGCTGAGCAAGGAGCCTGATGCGGGACTCGATCCCAGGGCACTGGGATCATGACCTGAGCCGAAGGCAGATGCTTAACCGACTAAGCCACCCAGGCGTCCCTGGCGGATACGTTTCAAGATCTCCAGTGGATGCCTATTGTGTTATGCGTTAATAAAACCAAACTCTTCATAATACCCAGTGAGGAACAGAATATTGAAGAAAGTGTTTCCTCCTAAATGTAATACACAAGAGACACTAGGAATGTTTATGTGATGGGTGAGGACCAAGACCAGAGAAATAGGCTGTGGTATACGAGGTGGGGTTGAGACATAAGGAACCAAATTTTAAAAGAGATAACACAGGAGAGGTTTTAGAAATGTTTCCTAACATGGCTTACAGTTCTGAATCCGGAGGTCTGGGGTGAGCCTGGAAATCTGCATTTGTTTAATTATAAATGGATATATTCATAATGGACGCATTGGGCGGTATTCTGAAGCATCTGATGTCAAAAGTAAATGACACTTTGTAAGACCCTTTTTCTCTGCGCGGTAACTGACACCTCATGTATGATTTTGGAAGGCAAAATGGTAAGTTGCACTTCATTAACATCATTTCCTTGAGTAAACTCTTCAGTGTTTCCTCAAGACCTACAGATTTGTATCATATTTGTAATCACCTTTCTGCTTAAGTAGAACTCTATTCTATAATATTATGAGTCTTGCTTTGATCATATCATCTTCTAACTGTAATTTTCCACAACAATGCCAGAACACATGTATCTGCTTCTTTGTTTTAACAGCTGCATACTATCCCATAGTAAGAGTATTCCATAATATATTTAACTAATCCTCTGTTGGTGAGTCGTTTTAATATTTCTAGGGTGTTTTTTTTTTTTTTGCTATAACATTTCTGAATGAACATCCCTGAGTAGACCTCTGTGCACATTTGTAACTATAGCTGAAATAGAACTTCCTATATGCAGTCTGTCACCAGACTTGGGCGATATTGTCTGAAAAATGATAATTATGTTTTTATTGAAACTCAGCAGGGTTTGGCAGCAGAGAGGACACTCAAGTTTCATAAATGCTTCTTTGGCAACCCATGGCTGCCACCAGAGCACATAGATCTCCCATGCAGGGATCTTGTCTTAATCATCACTGAATACCCAGCCTATAGCAAATGCCTAATACAGAGAAGTTGCTCAGTAGGTATGTGAGGACAAAGTGAATGAGTAAATTCTCGAGCAAACTGAGGTTTGTTCATAGTCTTATCTCTGTGATTGACTCGATATGTGACCTTATATAAATTACTGACTCTTTCTGGGCTTCAGTTCCTTCTTCTGACAAACAAATATAAATCCTAGCCTGACTGCATCAGTTTGGCAGGAAGAACAGTAGAATAATAAATTTGGTAGTGACTTGAAAAGTAAAACATTCAGAAAATTCACATAATCATTGTCAATATGCATTTAATAAATAACTTCTTTTGCAGGGCATAGAATATTGGAAATGCTAGCTATATGATGCTAACTCTTAAGTGTAAAATGGAGATCAGAGGAAAAAAATAGTCTTTGGGGGAAGGGTATTGGCTAATGAATTATTATTATCTTTGTTAGTATCGATATCAGTATCATTATGAAAAAGGCTTAAAGCTTCCAAGTGGAAAGGTGCTATTGACTATAAAAGTCACATACTCAATATTTTAAGTTTTATGCTTTCTTCCTCCCATCGGCTTATTAATTTTTATGTACATACTAGAAACCTCTTGATGCTTTGGAAAGTCTTAGGTGTAACTTTAGTTCATTCAGTTTAATTCATCAATAGTATACTCAGGGGCGCCTGGGTAACTCAGTTAAACACCCGACTCTTGATTTCCGCTCGAGCTCAGGGTCATGAGATCGAGCTCCACATCAGGCTTTGCGCTCAACCCAGGGTCTGCTTGAGATTCTCTCTCTTCTCTTCCTCTGCCCTTCTCCCCCCCACTCATGTTCTCTCTAAATAAATAAATAAAATCTTTAAAAAACTTTAAAAACTAGTATACTCAGTTAAATTGACTGATACACAGATAATCATATCTAGATATGGACATATTCAAAATATTATCAGATTTCAAATACACTGCCAGCCTGAAAGGATTTTTTGAACCCTCCAGTTAATGTCTTTGTCTTTTATGTGGGGAATCGGGGCAGATAGGCACAATAAACATAGAGGGGAAGGAATGAATATTTTGGAGAAAAAACTGTGGTTCAAAAGGAAGAAAGCTGATATATCTTAACGCAATGGTTATATTATATTTGTTAATTTTATTCTGTTTCCCTGCAGGTTTGAATGTGTATTTGGCTACTTGGCTACTGATTAGAGAACACAAAATGAATAACTCAACAAACTCCTCTAACAGTGGCCTGGCTCTGACCAGTCCTTATAAGACATTTGAAGTGGTGTTTATTGTCCTTGTGGCTGGATCCCTCAGTTTGGTGACCATCATTGGGAACATTCTGGTCATGGTCTCCATTAAAGTCAACCGCCACCTCCAGACCGTCAACAATTACTTTTTGTTCAGCTTGGCCTGTGCTGACCTCATCATTGGTGTTTTCTCCATGAACTTGTACACCCTCTACACTGTGATTGGCTACTGGCCTTTGGGACCTGTGGTATGTGACCTTTGGCTCGCCCTGGACTATGTGGTCAGCAATGCATCAGTGATGAATCTGCTCATTATCAGCTTTGACAGGTACTTCTGTGTCACAAAACCGCTCACCTACCCAGTCAAGCGGACCACGAAAATGGCAGGTATGATGATTGCAGCTGCCTGGGTCCTCTCCTTTATCCTCTGGGCCCCGGCCATTCTCTTCTGGCAGTTCATCGTAGGGGTGAGGACTGTGGAGGATGGGGAATGCTACATTCAGTTTTTCTCCAACGCTGCTGTCACCTTCGGTACTGCCATTGCAGCCTTCTATTTGCCTGTGATCATCATGACCGTGTTATACTGGCACATATCCCGAGCCAGCAAGAGCAGGATAAAGAAGGACAAGAAGGAGCCTGTGGCCAACCAAGACCCAGTTTCTCCCAGTCTGGTACAAGGCCGGATAGTGAAGCCAAACAACAACAACATGGCCGGCAGTGACGATGGCCTGGAGCACAACAAAATCCAGAATGGCAAAGCCCCCAGGGATGCGGTGACCGAAAACTGTGTCCAGGGAGAGGAGAAAGAGAGCTCCAACGATTCCACCTCAGTCAGTGCCGTCGCCTCTAACATGAGAGATGATGAAGTCACCCAGGATGAGAACACAGTGTCCACTTCCCTGGGCCATTCCAAAGATGAGAACTCTAAGCAAACATGCATCAGAATTGTCACCAAGACCCAAAAAGGTGACTCATGTACCCCAACTAATACCACCGTGGAGCTCGTTGGTTCTGCAGGTCAGAACGGAGATGAAAAGCAGAGTATTGTAGCTCGCAAGATTGTGAAGATGACGAAGCAGCCCGCCAAAAAGAAGCCTCCTCCCTCCCGGGAGAAGAAAGTGACCAGGACAATCTTGGCTATTCTGTTGGCTTTCATCATCACTTGGGCCCCATACAATGTCATGGTGCTCATTAACACCTTCTGTGCACCCTGCATCCCCAACACAGTGTGGACAATTGGTTATTGGCTCTGCTACATCAACAGCACGATCAACCCCGCGTGCTATGCACTTTGTAACGCCACCTTCAAGAAGACCTTTAAACATCTTCTCATGTGCCATTATAAGAACATAGGCGCTACGAGGTAAAACATCTTTGTAGAGAAGGCAGGTGGTGAGGGGAGCTTGGGAAAAAGAAAAGGGATAAAAGAGCTCCCAGTTTTAAAAAATCTCTGCCATTGCACTTTATAGTCTTATTATGGAATGTGCAATTAAGGAGCCTAACAGTGACACTTTTGTCACGCCGATGCTCCGGTTTGAGAAACCTGCACCTTATAAACCCTGTCAGTTTAGGAGCAATGAGACCCTGAAAAAGACATGTTGGAGTAGTGGATTGAAGGGACAATCTACGCTTTCTTGTACTCTCTTGAAGAAGGGCTTCTGAATCTACAATTTTATCTCTGCACAAGAAGAATAACCTCGCTCCTTTTTTTCCCTTTTTTTTTTTTTTGTTGTTGTTGTTGTTGTTCCTGTGTGTCCATACAAGGATGAAATGCCACGGTTACAAGCTAACATGGAGACTTAAACATAAGGAAATAGACATCACACAATGGAGAAGTGAAGAAAGAGAATCAAAACAGGATGTAGAAATGGGCTCCAGAGTGTTAAGCATATATTATTCTTTTGTTACAGTTTTATTTGGAGAATTGCAACATAATAAATGCTCTTTCCCCTTTACCTTTCCCTTTTCCCACCATCAAAAGAAAGCAAACAAACAAAAACCCTAACTAGATCAGATCGTTATTTTTCTCATTATACCATCGGCTTTTGTACTTCCCTGTTGTACATTGTGTAAGGGCAAAAATCTGCAGGATTTCCAGTAAATACAACCAGACACAGCCTTGAAAGTGGGCCTTTCACCCCTGCCCACTGTGTCGTTTGCATACTTTGGGGGGTATAAAAGCCTATAAACATTTAGCTGGCTTATGATCCTTTGGGTGAAATGTTTTCACCAGCCTGGTTTTCTCCTAAACGAGCTTCTTATGTGAACGGAATAGCCTACCTAATACATAAACATGCTTGAGAAACCAAAGTCATTTTTTAAACTGAGGTTTGGTCAAATTAAGGAGTAGTCATTTTTAGTTGGAGAAAGTTTACCGAGGCCAGATGAATTTTGCAAAAGGCAGATAGAAGGCTGAGAGAATTCTGTTTCAACGGGAATTTGCCTGACCTGTGTATGAAATGCAAACTTGAAAAACATGACCTTCTGGCCTCTGTCAGCAGGACGAAGCTGCTTTACTCGTTCGGAATCCTAAGTAGGATTAACGTACTCTCGTGGCACCAGTGACTTCTGCGTCAGTCCCAAGGGAATAAGACCTTCTCTTCAATGCCTGCTAGCAAATGATACTCAATTCATAGTCCGGTGAGGTTGTTTATAGCCATCCTGTGTCCCAGTGGAGAAGGAGAAAGTTCATTAAAAAACATTTCCTGAAACCACCTGTTCCATCTTCCTCAAATTGTCAATTCTCCCTAAAATTTCTTAACTTCAAAATTCTGTCCATAGAAATATAGTAATCTTTGTGGCAGACATGTAGTGGATAACTAACGGAGGCCAAGTGAGATCAGCAAAAGCTGAAGAAAAATGTAGGTAGCGGTGCCGGTGTCATTTCTCATTATTTCTTTAATTCTAGGCCATCAAAAGTCAGATCAGGAACTATTACCCAAATGGTGGCTTTCTATAGAATCTTGTCCATGTAGAGACTTTTTATTTGGTACCCCGGATAAATATATCATTGTATTGATTCACATTTAGCTATTTTTAATCCCTCAACTTTTCTTACTATATGTGCTATAGTCTTAAAATCAGATTTTCTGAAGATGGCCCAATCAATAGAAATCAAACTTATAAAACTCACTTCAAATTTCCTATTTTGCATTTTAGATTTATGGGCCTTATGATATCTTGACCAGTAATATCAATGTAAGTAGCATGATTAATTTTTCAGTATTAAACCTTAGCACTTCAGAGCTGTTTTGTGTGACTTGCCTCATCGATGGCCTCTCAACAATTTTGAAAGTTAAATAAAAAGCACAAGGTAAACAACAACAAAGAAGAACAATTAGTAAGAAGCAAATTGCCAACAATAGTTGTATGTAACTTACCCTTTATAAAAATAACTTTCTGTTTGAATAACTATAGTCATTTCCCCTGAATCTCCTAGGTGTAAACATACAGCATCAGTTTATACAGATTCCTTTACTCTACAGTTACTTCAATGTAAATGTTTACTATTTTAAATCCACATTTACTTTGATTTTATTTCTTCAAATCAGTGAATCACTTGAATGGAAGGGACATCAAGCCAATGGGCTGTTCGGTTTGCTATAAATGGAACAATCGACTGGCCGAATATTTCACTTATTAACTTGTTGTACTATTATGATGTAGATTCAACTTTAGTTGGGATGAACTCTTTGGATTCAAGGATTAAGGAGTCTGGATTTGGGTGTTTTCTGGTCCACTCTAACAATTCAACTCACCATGAATCAAACAGCCTCTTGCTCTTCATTGCCATTACATCCTCCCTTCCTTCCTTCTGTTCTTGATCTTCGCCATAGCCACCACAACCTTGTTGAAAGAGAAACCATCATGCGTTACAGCAAGGACGTGAATATAGACTGACACATCATGGAAGCTTTGTCAACTGGAATCAGAGAAATGGGAAGAATACTGAATGTAGTAGATGATTAGAAAGACACAGATTATATTCAAAGGTTTGCATTAACTGTTGCTGGGTTTGTCTATTTCAGTGGCTCTCATACAGGAACTATTTTGCTCCCCCGGGGACATTTAACAATGTGTGGAGACATTTTTGGTGGTCACAACTTGGGGGAGAGCTACTGGAATCTGACAGATAGAGGCCAGGGAGCCTGCTAAACCGCTCACAGTGCACAAGATAGCCTCCCCCTCACACACACAACTAAGAATTCCTTGGCTCAAAGTGTCAATAGTGCCAAAGTCGAGAGACCATGGTCTATTTTAAGGAATTCTGGAGCTTACTTTGTATACATGGGAAAATAATCCTGTATCACTATTAGAATATCAATGCAAATTGCTCACCTGTTTCAAAAAGGTAATGCTCACCAATTGTGTATCAGACGCACTGTCATCTGTGAGTCTGGTGTATTTGTAAATCACAGATTGGGAACACGGGGGACATCGACATATCCAGAATTAACAGACCATGCACATAGCACATTGTCTCCAACATCTTCATGTCCCATTATGATTGCCACAGAGTCCAGTCAATTGAAGTTGCTGGTAATTAGCCATTAAAATGATTGCAGTTGATATGGTCAGTTTCTATCGGAGCTGCCACTTTTCCTTTCAAAAACATTGAGAGCATCTTTCAGAAACAATCTGATTCATCTCCTTTATTTTCACTGAAAAGGTGAATAACTGTCAAGAATTTCTTCTCTCCTCATAGCAATAATGTAAATACTCCAGAGTGGTCTTATAAGAAGAGGAGATTAAGAACGTCAAAAAGCCAGTTCATTTCTTTAAAAAAAAGAAAAGAAATGATTCCTCTTTTACCAGTTCGCATTAATTTAACATCAGCTCCCAAATGTTAGGACAAAGTCACCAATATAGGAAGTCACATGGGATAAGCTTTCCCATTTGAATGTGGAAACTGGAGGTCCCACATACTTCTGCTCCTTATCCATTCACTGCTTTTTTGATCCTGGAGATCTGACACTGGGGAAGGCTGAAATTCAAAATGGTGGCAACATATACTTAGAAATGCAATCTACTTTTATTTTCTCTTACTTAGTTCACTGGTAGTTGCCTTTGCCCTGTTTGATGATACACCTTTCAACAACCACAGCACTGGTGTTACAAATAGATTAGGGAAGCACCCAAAGCTGGATGAATTGTGCAAAGTGTATTTTCAGCATGTACATACGATACCATGCCTCTTAAATATGCTTCTTTTAAAAGGGTGCACGCTGCAGCATGAACTGTGTGCATATTTAATGTATCTTTCTGGAATATGCTGTATGCTTAATATACATATTCTATAAATAAAGTAATGAACTGTATCATAGAAATACATATTTCTGTATGCAAATAAATATGTTATACACAAAATCTTAATATGCAATATGGTATATGTTGCTTCAGAGAGTAACAAGACTAAATTTCATATGCCCACTTTTTTAAAAGTAGTACTTGCTTTTGAAGGAAGAGGTTTAAGAACAGCCAAAATCCTACCCATATTACGATGAAACCGTTTTATAATCTTTGAAACCATGGCACTGATTTTAAGTATCTCGTGGAGGAATATATTAATAAATCTTTGCTGGTGTCAGCTCACGTGACAAGAATGCTCTTTGCTCCTGTGCTCCCGACTGGCCTGTGACTAGAATCTTTCTGGCTGTTAGTGTTCCAACAGCTGTGTTGCTCTCACGTCTGATTGCCTGATGAGATTGCAACCAATTCATTGACATACAGCTTTGCTCTCCTCCAAATTAACTGATTTTTGTCAAATAAAAAATAATCATACAAGGAAAAAAGGATGACCTTCAGAATGTTTTTCATTCTGAGAAGCAAAGTAAAAACAAAAAAAGTACAGCACTGTATTTTATAAACCATTCTTTTTAGTTTGAGTCCAATACAGCATCCCATACATTAAATGCCAGAAATTTCTAGTGTAGTATAGTGCAGGTTTCTCCAAGAAATGATGAAATAGGTGGTTTGCTTCTGAACGCCCTCCATTTCCTCCATAGCACTTCTCTTCCTCTGCTTGTTGCCCACTCAACTACCCACATTCTCCGGAGCATTTTCTTTGGCTCATTAGCATGAGTTCCTAGTTAACAAATATTGTTATGATTTTTGTTGATATGGGGCATGCCATCCCAAGAGATACTTGCATTTTAATAAAAAAACAGAAACACTAAACAGCTCCAAGATCCCTATTAGTCTTTAGTTACCAAGGTAGTCAGTGGGAAAAATAATTTTCAGTGAATTCTAGTTTTCTATGCAAATTTTATAACATGCTTCACTGTCTGTCCACTTCCTAAATTTTACCTGTATGTCACAATCCATCCTTGTGCATTGTTATCTCTTATCTGGACCAGAATCATTTCTA